AATTTTTAACATGGAGATCATGAATATGAATAAAATAAAATAAAATTGAAAACTAGAACTATTAATTATATTAAGAAAATATTTGGACTGTTAGTTACATTTGTTTTTAGATGGACCACCTATTTGCATCTATCTTTAAGATGGATGCTTTATATCTCTAGACCGTAAATTGTAAAAAAAAAGTGCAATTTGCATACAGATGCATCTGTAGGTGTAGAGGTAAGGTGCACCTTCAAATTTTATCATGGTATATAATGTTGATGTAAAATGTTCTTAGGATAATCTCAAAATCTAATTTTATAGCTAATTATAAAATTTTAAATTTAAAAAATGCAAATGCACAATTTCTGAGACTTAAAATCTTTGTATTTTTCATAGTCATACATCTCGATGTCGAGATGATCAATCAAAGGGTTTTTCAACATTAAGACTACCTTTTTCGATGGATTTTTGAGGGGCATCTGTAGTTCTACATTATAAGGTAGCATCCTTACTTGATATTGAAGGCAAACTAGAAAAGGTGTTATTTGATATTGAAGGTTTGGATCAGAATATTCAAGAAGATGGTTCATTCACTGAACAATTCGTTTTGGATAGAAGTGAGAAACTGAAAGAGCTTAATGATATCAAAAGAGCGGAAGAAATTTATTGGAGGCAAAGTTCGATATTCAAATGGCTTAAAGAAACGGACCTTAACACCAAATTCTTTTATGCGATTGCTAGTGCTAGGAGAAGGAAAAATGGCATCTCTGGCCTGACTTTCCTTGGAATTGATTCTAATAATGATTTAGGCTATGGAGTTAGCAATGATTAATCATTTTCAAAAGGTTTTCTCTAAAGAAGTAACTTTTATTCCAAAATTTCAGAGAATTCCAATTAAAGTGCTATCTCATAATTTGCAAATTCATTTGGAAAGAGAGTGATTTTAAAAGAGGTTAAAGAAGCAATTTTTGCTTTATCTGGCAATGAAGCTCCTGGACCAGATGGTTTCCCTTTAGCATTCTTCCATAAATTTTGTGATTTGGTTAAAGGCGAGCTGCTAGAAATGGTCAGGGTATTCATGATCACAGGGCATGCGTTTCGAGGGGTAAATTCAACTTTTTTAGTGTTGATCCCCAAGAAACAGTCATCTTGGATATTTTGGATGTCAGACAGATCAGCCTACTCACTAGTTTGTATAAAATTATTGCGAAAGTCCTGGCTGAAAGATTTAAAGGAGTTCTACCATTCTTGATTTTCAACATGCCGTCGGCTATTGTAGACAAGCATCAGATCATTGATAGTATATTGCTCACGCATGAATGCATTTACTCAAGGGTTATTGATAAAAAGCTAGGGGTTATGCTTAAACTATATATGGAGAAGGCCTATGACAGAGTGGAATGGGGGGCTCTATTAGAAATTATAAAAAAGATAGGTTTTGGTAATAGATGGCTAAGTTGGATTTGGGGATACTTATCTTCCGCTCACTTCTCTATACTCTATAAAGGAAGCCCTATTGGTTTCTTTAATGCATCAAGAGGTCTGTGCTAACGAGACCCGCTCTCTGCATTCTTATTTATTATCTATGCTGAATGTTTTAGCCTGATGCTTTTTAAGGTTGAACGTGCTAGGTATTTTTTGGGCTTTAAAATTACAAACTCCTCAATTACAATTTCTCACTTGCAATATGCTGACGATACCTTAATTTTTTGTGATGCTGATATCTTGCAAGTGAAGAGCGTGGTGGGATGCTTGGAATGTTGTGAGGTGACTATGGGTATTAAAGTGAACTTCAATAAATCCTTTTTTATTGGAGTCAACTATCATCTTTCCTAAGTTGAGATATTGGCCAACACAATGTGCTGCAAAGTTGGGTCTTTCCCTGTTGTGTATCTTGGTATACCTATTTCGAACTCAAGCCTATCTCTTTTGGTTTGGGATAAGGTATTAGAAAGAGTACAACTAAAACATGATCTATGGAAACCGAAATATTTATCATTAGGAGGAAGAGTAACATTGCTACGATCATGTTTGGCCAATTTACCGGTTTATCAAGTGTCCTTAAACTCTACTCCAAGCTCGGTGGCAAAAAAAATTGAAAACATAATGAGGGACTTTTGTGGGGTACTTACGGTAAGAACCGAAAATACCATTTGTTAACGTGGGATAAAGTCTGCACTCCTAAGAGAGAATGGGGTTTGGGGATCCGAAAGAACCAACCAAGCTTTACTATGTAAATGGTGATGGCGCAGTATTCATTTGAAATATCATATTTGGTACTAAGTCTTATGTGCAAAATATGGCTTGGATAAATCACAATTATGAGGGTAGAAGGGGTCAGAAGTTATCTCTGCTATGGAAATCTATTTTGAGCTACAGCCTGATGATCTCAGGGTATTTTCGGTGGACTATTGATAATGGGGAACAAGTATCATTTTGACACCTTAAGTGGTTAGGGGATTATCCTTTGAAACAAGCATTCTCGAATCTTTTCAATTTGGTGACCAGACCCAATTTGAAAGTAAGTGAGGCTATAAAGAGGCGAGGTGAAAGTGTCTCATGGGATATTCATTTAGCGTATAGCCGATCGAATAATGTGCTATTAGCTCAATGGTGTCAACTTATGGAATTGTTGGACAAGGTATATATCTCCTCTGCTGCAGATGATGAATTAATTTGGGAAATAGAGACTGATGGCGTATACTCAGTGAAATCAGGTTATAATTTACTTTTTCATGATCGATGCAGATGGTCTTGTAAATGCATTGCACAAATATGGAAATGGCCAATCCCACACAAGTTACAGATTTTTATTTGGTTGGCGATGCAAGATAAAATTCTTACGATTGATAATTTGATTAAAACGGGAAAAATTCTTCCAAATGTATGTCTCTTTTGCAAGGAGGATGGTGAAACTGGAACACATCTTTTTATTCATTGCTCTTTTACTTTTAGGTTGTGGTATTTGCTCTTTGGGGTGGTTGGCATCATAATGCCACTTCCACAAACTATTAGGGAAATTGTGTTTTCACTAAAAGTTCCTTTTCTACCGAAGACATGATAAATTGTTTGGAAAATTGCAATAGGAGTTATTCTTTGAGAAGTTTAGAAATAAAGAAATCGAAGGACCTTTGACGAAGTACCTTGCCCTTATGAAAGGCTTATCCATATTTGTAAATCCACAATCTGATCATGGTTGTCTGTGAATAGAGAAGGTTGGGGTTTTTGTAAGTGGATGTGATGGTCAATTTATAAATTTTGTTCTTTCTTGGTTTTAGGAAATCGAGACCAAGATGTGTTTGGATGGCTCCATGTCCAAGTAACTTTAAACTCAAATTTGATGGAAGCTCATTGGTAACCCGGGGCCGGTTGAAATTGGTAGAATTTTGTAAGATTGGTATGGTAATGTACTTTTCTCTTTTGTTGGACCAATTGGAAATGCTACAACTAATTTCGTAAAATTAATTGCTTTATTGTGTGGCCTAAAAATCTGCATTGAAAAAAAAGTGGAAGCTAGTTACACGATAGAAGGTGACTCTTTAAATGTGATTAGATGGCATAGAATGGAACAGAGAGTCCATTAAAAACTTCGACCTTTGTAGCTGCAAGTGATGGATTTGATGGCAAATAGTGTGGCGCCTTTCACACATGTTTATAAGTCGGCTATCTTGCTAAAAAAGGTATCTTCTTTTTCTTCACTTCATGTTTCTGACGATGTAATTTTCTTTGAATAACTTCTAATAATATCAATGATCTTAGGTCAAAAAAAAAAAAAAAAAGAATAACATCCTTATATAAACTTTTTTTTTTTTTGTAAAAATGCACTCTAGCATGCATGAAACAATTGTTCAATAATAATTTTTTTTGAATGGCAATCCCAAAGAAACGTACAACCATGTCAAAAAAAATAAAATAAAATACATTTGTGGAAATTCTCCGACGCGACGTCTATTACATTCACAAGATACACTAGCGCCTATACTACTTCCAAAGTTCTCGAGCTCTCCACAATTATAATCATTTTTAGGATATTAAATCTTCAAAGCATGTTTAGATGTTTTTTTAAAGTTGGTTGCTACCAAAAAAAACATATATATGGAAAAAGTTTATATAGAGCCGAAGTTCTAAACAATCAAATTATAGTACACCCAAATATCCTCAAATTGATCATCTCGACCTCAAGACGTATGGATGTAAAAAAAAAATGAATTTCATGTTTTGGAAATATTGCATCTTGTAATGTAGTTTGTCCTTCAATTTTCGAGATTTCATAAATCTATATATTATTTTTTGAACTTTAAATTTTATAATTAGAGATAAAAATATTTTTTAAGGCTATCAAATCACTTTCCATTATTAAAACTACATTTCTCGACACTGTTAGAAAGTGCACTCTACTTTGATTGTTTAGAGGCTCGGCTCTATACAAACCACACCCAAAACATATACATGGAAGTAAAAAAAGTGAAACGTTTTTACTCTTCTTTTCTCCATCTTTACCTCAAGTTAAGGGGGAAAAAGAAAGGGAGAAATCCCATCCAAAAGATTAAACACAAGGGGAATCCAAAAACCAGACATATTTTGAATCATCTGAACGCATGATCTGGACTGTCACATTTCAGTAAACAATAAAACATCGGAAAATTTTCCTCTTAAAGAGCTCCAAATTCAAATTTAAGGGCAGAAATGGACTTGCAGTAATGGGCATTAAAAGGGGGCGTCATTGGGTTTTGGTGAGACCAAGGGCGGCCCTTACAAAAACTCTCATGCCATGTTCCATTACAGAACAGATGCAAGCTTAGACCACCACACCCAACCAACTTGTATCGATAACCTTGCACGTTGATGATGATTTTCGTTCAACGCGTGCTAGTTTAAATGCATTCAGATGCATCACCTACTTATACAAATGCTTTTCCAAACATATTTGAATATAGACATCCACGTTCACAATATGCTTCTTATATACATATACCACGCGTGCACACCAACATATACGACAGAGAAAGAGAGATCAGACGGAAAGTTTACAAATTTATCAGAAGGAAAATACATGCTCTGAAATAAGTACGAAATCTTGTGAAGGCAAAAAATATGAACCACTTTGATGAAAAGGCTATACAAGAATCAGTCAAGGGCCATACTTGACTATACAACTCCTAGGCACTTTGCTAGGGAAGAGTAGATTATGTTACATGGTAGGGCCAAAAAACCATACCTGGTTTGGAGCAGTATAAACTTGCCCACTGTATAATCTGGTTTTACTAAAAAGAATTCGTCAGCACCATCCTCTCTCATTTTGTATAATAATTGCAGTGATCCCCATCAAGCCCAAGCAAAAATGGGTCACCAAATATTCAAAATGGACACCCTGCATGAATAGAATGAAATAATACCCTTGTGATTAGAAGCAACGGTGGCAGAAAAATATCATGTTTTCTCAGTGAATCAGGGCTAAGCATACCATAATCCCAAGGCCTATGGAATACAATATGACCCATAGGGGCATCACCACCCTTGAAATGCAAGATAATGAAGAAAGGAGTGTGTGTAACCCACCAGACAAGATGTGACCTTTTCCACTCTGTCCATCATTGGACATCATTTCAGTGGGTGTCGACAGCTCTAATGACTGCTGTTTCTATAGTACTTAAAATTATAGGACAGAAACCATATAATTTCCCAATAATCAAACCCCACCTCGGGAAAGGTAAAATACACTGAAGAAATATAGGTGTAGCCAAGCACCAGATATCCATGTCAGCTACAATCACCTACCATTTTTGGTTTCCCAAGATCTAAGATACAAGAGCATACCTAAGGGAAGCGCAAAAGTGCATCAATGGAGGACCCTGCGAGGTGCTGACAGGCGAAGCATTTTCTTAAGGAACGTATTGCATTTCTTTTGAATTTGAATCAATTTTGTACAGAAGGAACCAAACACCTCATGACACCATTGCTACCAATTGAGATTATTGCCTTAGGCAGACTTGAAATTCCAGGGTGTCCCTCAGCGGTCAATTTCTGCAGCCAAAAACTAAGTTGCTGTCTGTCTTATCTTTGTTTTAGATTTTGGGTTACAGGGGCCACTTCATTCTCTATTAAGTTTAATCTGGACCTCTTATTCTTTCCTAGTCAATGAGTTCCCCTTCTCTCTCATGGTTTCCTTCTCGAGTTTCTTCTTCTCAGCTTCAGCTTGTTTGGCATTGTCCTCGCGTGATTTATTGAACATATTGACAAATATGACTAGTGTCGAAGTCACTGCAAAGTATAAAAGTTGATTGGAGGACCACCACAAAAGAGATTTCTAATAAATATACATCTTAAAACAATATCATCTAGTGGGTGTCATCATCTTAGACACTTAATGCATGGAAAGGCATGAACATCATGAACAAATATCACATCTGCATGCATCCCCACACATACAAACTTCTATCCTCAGATACATAATTACATGTCATAAATGCACTCGTGCATATATTTATACATAGACATGTATATATACATACATAAATATAGACTACCAAACCCCTGACTGTTTCATTTTAATTTTTGCTTCTTGAAGATAATATTGACAAAAGAAAAACTATAATTATATTAATATAATTAAGTAGAGGATGGTACAACATACCTAATCACACCTATACATATGCATACAAACAGAATAGCATGTAAATAATTTAGTATATTATATGCAACACTACATTAAAAAATAGAATAACAATAAAAAACTAAAAATTGAAGGGACACTAATTTAATATTATGGGTGTTTGGATGCACAATAGCAGCACACTCCAGAGTCCTGGGTCCCGAGTGCAAACACCTCAGTGGAGGCATTAATTGGGCATCAAATAGGAATGTTATATGGGCTCTGGAATACAATAGTGCCTAATGTCCACATGATAGAAAACATCTTGAGTGCACAAACAGAACTAGAGTATGTGAACAGGGCAGTGAAATTTTAAAACATACAAATTAGATGACTCATATTATGAGAATTGTCCTAGAAGGTAAACTGAGAATTATATTTACAACCAAAGCACTAGATTCTGTCACAATATATTTCTTGTGTTAGGTAAAACCAGGCGGCTGTGGATCAATCAGCCGCCTGGTTATCTTTGTTTTTGGATGAATAAAATATGGAGGACTAGCAGCAGCAGTGAAACAGAGGAAATCAAGCTAGATTACTCATGGCTTCAGCCACTTGTGGTCGGGCTGGCCCATAGGCTTTAGGGCTATAGTCAGGCCTGACTTTAAGGCCTGCAGACATGCCCGAACCAGGCAATAGAGCCCAGATTTGATTTCAGGCCGTCACCTGGCTCGACGCCCCCCCATCGCCCCGGTAGGGGAAATTATATAGTCCATATAAGTTTATGGACCATATTATTACATGAATGCCCGCTGGACCTTACCTCCTCTTTTTATGAGCTCTCCCACTCTGCAAGAAACGGCCATGTCTTTAGTTAATTGCACTTCATTTGATTTGTTTGAGTGATAGAAATGATATTTTTGAAGAATGAAACTGAGTGATAGAATTAAAAAATATTTTTTGATGCCAAGGAAACAGAAGAGCGAGAAAATGGGATAACCAATGTCCAGTGCTCTCTCCTATCATCCCTCTCCCAGAGTTCTCATATCTCTCTCTTTTCTCTATAATCTGGTCGCTCTCTTTAGTCTCTCCTATGATGAAAAACAATTACAGAGTGGCTTATGTATCTCTGTCTGCTGTGAAAATATGGCGAAGAATTTCGTGAAAACTAGTTATGGCTTCAGCTAAGGATATGCCAGTCAAAGAAGAGAGACTAAGTACATATTCAACCCTTACCCGGTTCTTGAAAGCAAGGAAGGCCAGGAAAAAACCCTAGATCAGGTTAGGTTCTGTTCTTTGAGGCTCCGAAACCAGGTGAGAACCATTAATCTCATTTCGACTTTTTTCAGGTAGAGATGGAGGCTTTGTTCGTGACCCTAATTCAGCAATGGCAGTAGAGAAGGCAAAAGTGAGAGCAATTTTACTTTTTGTTCTTTCTAGTTTGTTTTTCTCTGACCTCTGTATGGGACAGAGTTCTATGATTTTTTGTTCAATTGTATTTATATGGAGCAAGAAGAACTACAGTGAGTATTTCAGCCCCTTCTATTTTCTTTTTTGGATCTAAAAGCCAACTCAGGTAGCTGAAGCAGGGGTTAAGTTTAGTTGATAATATTTAAGTTTCTTTTTTCTGGGATCTATAACCCAGTTTGGGCCTGGCTTAGGCCTTGACCTAGGCATTCAGGCCTGGGCCAAGTTAGCCCAGCCAGTTGGCAGCCGTAGCCACTTGTCATATTGGGCACTTATAGCCAGTTATTAAAAATGAACAAACAGGAAAATCATAATAATAGTCAATAGCTCAAGGAGGTTGATGGCAATAAATCAGTTTGATGTGTAGGGAAGCTGAGGAGATTCTGGATCAGTTGTTTCTGAATTGTTCTTTCTCCAGTCAGGTCTGGAGTTGCTTCCTACATCTCTCTAGGCATCCCATGAGTTATGCCAAGGTCCAGCACCCTTTCTTTTCAAGATCAGAAATGCACGAAGAACCCAAAAAGGAAAAATCCTATGTACATTACATCATTGATAGAATCCATGCCCTGTATGAAGTCCCATAGAGCTGATTATAGATGCCTTGATTTCTTGGGCCCAGATTTCTAAAAGTTCAGCTATATTACAGAGCAGCGTCTACTTTGTGGCTGGTGTGCTGTTTGCACAATCAGCTGGTTGGTTACCCAAAACAACCACAATCCACTAGTTCCTTAACAATTGAAGCTGCATTTTGACAGGACCCTTCATGGTAATCTGGGTTTGGCCTATGCTGGAGGGCTTGTAACTTCTGAGGGACCATAGGGAGGTATTTTGACTTCAGGGGACTATGGCATTTCTCACTAGACTCAGACAAGTAACCATTGTCTCTATTGTCAGTAGTTAGATGGTTGAGGGAAGGGTAAGACTAGACATCCCCTTCCTGTGGAGGAACACTAAAAACATGGCAGGTGGATGTTGGACCAAAACCAAGGATGCCGTATTTAAATTCAGCATGTTCATGTGGACACTTGGCCCTACAGTGGGTGGGAACCTTCAACGTGGGTGTGTTGGAGAGAAAAATTTCTCGTCTTCTTGTAAATAATATGGATGAAATAAATCTCTAAGTGCTCTCCAAGAACATGAAATAGACATCTCTAGGATTGTTGATTGTTGAAATAAACTCAAGAAGGGGCCATTTTGATTAGCCAATTAAAGAAACGCATTTTGAAAGATCATGCTATTTAATGGAGCATTTAGCAGCATGGGCATTTTGGGACAATATTAAAGAAAGAAAATTTGAGAGAGGACCAAAGGAAGAAGTTTTGCGAAATGAAGGGACTATAGAACAATTAATCCAATCTTAGATGATACTCATTCTTATTTCCCTAGAAAGATACATGAGTCTCTGGTACCACCTTTGGTCATAGCATCTTACTCAATTCCGAGACATATTCTTGATCCCATTGGCTTACTGGCCTAAGCTATGTAATGAACAAAATTCTAACCTCTAGATGATAGGCCTCCTTTAGTATGCTATGTATTCTGATTAAGCCTAACACTTGAAACTAGTGTTTTTAAAACCCACTAATCTGGATCAGGAATCGGCCAGGATTGAACCAGTTCCGAGAAGATATCGGTATTGGATTGTACACTCCCCACCCCCCAAAAAAAGGACCCAAAAAAAATCACTTTAATTTTATTTATTTTTTAAATATTTTTCCTGATCGCCAATTTGGACCCATTTGGATAGGCGATCTGGCTTTCTCACATGAATCTGTGGGGTGGACAACCCACACCACTTATAAATGTTTAAAAACACTACTTCAAAGTTCAAACTAAAGTGTGACAGTTCCCTCTTGATCGCTTGTCCCTCCCTTAATTCTCACTTATTCATACATTTTTCTTCCATTGACCGTGTCTCTATTATCAAACTTTTCAGACTCTATACATCTCTACGTATGTGTCCATGTGGTCCAACTTGATGTATACACCACGTATATAATAAATGCAACTATTCTCATCAAATTAGAAGAAAAGGATGAGGAAACTGATGGAAGTACGGCATTGATATAGAATCCAGAGTGTTATACAGGACCATGATGATTTATGTGCCAAGGGCCAAAACAAAAGTCACTGATCTGAATGGGAGCAACATTTTGTCAGCTCTAGCAGTTGTTAAAAGCAACTGCATGAATTTTATCCTGCAAACCATTCAAAGAAATTACATTCCTTGGAGGCTTCTAGACATTTTAAATAAATTTATCAGCAGATCAGTTCCAATTCGCAGTCAATAATCTGATACATCTATCAGAATACCTTACCTTCCAAGGATCAGCTATTAAATATGCAAGTAACTTATAGTTAATTCTAAGACTAAGATGCTCTCTCAACTTTGTTTCCTTCCAGAGTTTATCATATATGGTTTTTGCTAGTGGTCAAAAGACTTAGAGAAGCAGAAGCTAGAGGAGAATACTATTCCTCTACACCTTTAGATTCTACATGATACTAACTTTGCCACACAACACAAAATACCCACTCCTGCAATTGCTTTTGTGCTAGAGGAGCATGAAATTAACATCAGAAAGAACATCTTTATGTACTATATAATATATCGTAAAGCGTTTAGAAAGTTTATGATGAGCACAATCATATGTTAAGGATACCAAGAAATATGATGTTTCTGAACAAATAACTACCACTATCAGACATTTGTTAAGATACTGCTCAACAACCAAAGTTATGACAAATACTCTAACCTTGCTCAAAAGGGCATCGCGCAGGATCTTCCCCAAAATACTGAGCAAGAGAATCTGCACTCCTTCCCTATTTGAAAAATAATAATAATAATAAAATAAAACCAATATATAAAGTTAATTAATGACTATGAAATTACAAACCCTAACTGGAATGCTTTTGTGAGAAAGCAACTCACCACTTCAGAGTACAAGGAAATGAGAGACCTCACATCAGCCTCAGCAGTTTCAAGGAAGGTTTTCAAAGCCTGAATAATCAAAGGTAAATGTTTTTTCACAAAAGATGTAATATATATCGAAGGACAGTTCGAGATGTAATCATCATACCAACCTTCTGGAAGCCCAGTGATATAGCACCATCATTTTCTGAGGCAGTGAGCTCCAGCTCAACCTTTTCAAGACCCTTACTTACTGCTTGCATCTCCTCAGCTAAGGATTTCAATTGGATCTAAGAAATTAGCAAAAGAAAATATGAGAACAGCAGATCAATGTTCAACATGATTCACACTTTATTGCAAACAACAAAAGCAGAGAGATTAGTACTTAACATAATTGAGCAACCATTGCCCTACATTAGATGCTGCTTCCAGATGAACAAGGTCCTTATCAAAAGATTAGTACTTAAGTGAGTAACCATTACCCTACCTTAGATGCCGCTTCCAGATGAATAAGTTCCTTATCAAAATCTAGCAACTCCGGCATTTGATCAGAAATCATCTAACAAAAACAACCATAAAGGGATGACACCAATCAATGGGAACACTCAGTATTACAAAACAGATATCGTGCAAAGTAAATATGACTAACTACAATGAAGAATAAGACAATTCACAAATATAGAACCATAAATAACATGACAGCCATCACCGTCCATCCCTTCTCTTATCCATCACCCTTCCTCACTTCTCTTGGGCCACCCCAAGACAGGGTAATGGGCCAGCCATGTCCATTCTTTTCTTCAAGCACACACGTATGCATATTACTAGTTTCCAATGCGGTATTGCTGATACCACTTAAAACATGTTCACATTCCATATCAACAAATTGACACATTCCTGTACAATCATGTTGATACACCGTATAGCGTGTCGGCAAATGTGCCCATGGCAACGAGTGGCATACCCAGAACTCAAAAGATATAGTATCTGATTTCTTAATGACGCCGAAAAATCAATGACATGTGCTTTAAAAAAATAAATTTAAACAATAGGATGTCATAGCAAAAGAACATTCCTTAGAAACTTTTACAGCCAAAAAACAGACGCATATTGTAACCTAGTGAAGATCATTATCTCAGTTCCCAAGCCTTAAATTTCAGGTCTATATTTCTAATTCACCCTACCAAAAAAAGGACCATGAAATCACATATAAATGCATCTCAAGGATAGCAAAAGATATACAAAATTAAAAAATCTAATAGGTGATGAGATGAGAGAAAATAGACTTAGGTGGGCTGGCTATGTGTAGCATAGACCTAGTATAGCACCTGTTAGTAGGTGCGAGTTGGTTCAAGTGTAAGGTTCAAAAAGGATAAAGGGTAGGCCCAAAATGACATGGTTGGAAGTACTGAGAAAAGATATGGGGACTTATGGCCTCACTGAGGGTTTGATCCTTGATAGAGCAGAATGGTGACCGGGATTTGTATAGCCGATCCCAAGTAGTTGGGAAAAGGCCCTGCTGATGTTGATGAGGATGAGCAAACTTCCCACAAATATATTAGAAACTTAGAACAAAGAGCATCGCCAAGCTTTCGAAGAGATTATCATTATAACTAAAATAAAATTCTAAAATATCAAATGGCACACTAAAAGTAATATGATGAATATCATGGCCAATTGGTACAATGCGTGACTTCATTTAGCCAAAGAAAAGTATCTTAACAATAAGCACCGATTACAAGAGATCACTGCTTTTTTGGATTAAAAGCCTGAGGTCGCATGGGAATGTTCTAGAAAACAAAAACATCTTAGAGCCTGATTTTAGCATAGAGCAAATGCATAAAATTGTTATGATACTACTCACCCCCATTAAATATCCAACTATACACTGATTACTGGTAGTGTTGTCAAGAAGCAAAGCTGGGCCAAGCATGGAATGCCCAAGCTTGCATGGGGGGAGGATCATCTTGAGCTCGGCTCGAGCTTGAACGACCCAGATAGAGCTTGGCCCGATTTGACTCGTTTTGATAAACAAGCCTATATATAAGTCAAATCAAACCATTTAATTGTATGTGTGTGTTTCTATATATACTGCACACATACGGACACACGCATAGACATTATAGACATTTACTGTACAACTTCACCTAACCCAATTTTTTGGGGCAATTTTCTGGGATGGATCCTCTTGACTCTAGCAGATGCCCCGACCCCCCCACAAAAAAAAAAAGAACTTGAAAAACACATAAAATGGTCCTTTGCAGAGGGCTTATATGGTGCATTATCTGAGTCTATTTTGGTGCATATTACATCTCTATAGTTAGATGCACTCAAAACATTTCTCTTTTTTTGTTAACTGAAAATGTTCATCTACTATTTTTACAACCATCCCCAAAAATTTGGCCTTAGAGAAAAACACATACCCCCAAAAAAAGGGGGAAGGTGAACTTCTACATTATGGGTGTTTCTAAGGGTATATATATATATAGAAAAGCTTAGATACGCAACATCGTGTACAAGTGGCTTGTGCGCCTTAGAGAAAAACACATACCCCAAAAAGGGGAAGGTGAACTTCTACATTATGGGTGTTTCTAAGGTTTTTCCATATATATATATATATATATATATA